AGAATGGAAATTATATTTAAAAAACTATAACGAATAGTTTATTTATCATAATGTATAATAATTAAAGAGTTATGAAAGTGTAATTTTGGATTTCAATTATCTCAAATACTTTATTTTCAAAAAACAATACAAGTTGCTCAAAACAAGAAGGTTTCAGACGAGAAAGATGGGTATAACCAACAATTGCAAGCAGAGAAGACAAAGACTGCTGCTTTGACTTCGGCCAAGAATGCAAGTGATAAGAAGATTTTTGCTTTGAACTCGGAGAAAGACGAATTAGAAGATAAGAACAGAAAACTTGATTCTTCCAATAAAGATGCTCAGAGAAAACTTGCTGAGTTGACAAAGAGAATTGAAGACTGACTGAATGATTCTGATATGTTGAAAGCACAGAAGGCCGACTACGAAGCTTAACACGTTTGGTATATCTTTTGGTAATTATTTCCTTTTTCTTTTTACCTTATAATTGTTTTTGCCATTTTAATAGATTTGATCGTTTAAAACATAATGAGTTTAACCGAAATTGATGTTCTTGATGATGAGAATTTTTCTGATGATGACAATGTTGCTGAAACAAATTTGGTGGTTACTTTTCCAAATGAAATAATTACACAAAACACTGAACAAAAAGAAATTGAAAACATAATTATTGAGACCCAATCCCAAATTGCTTTTGTAGAACCCGAAAAATGGGCAGAAAATGGTTTGACAAATGATTCTTTTGACATTGATCGTTTCAAAGAAAACTGTCGAAATTTGAACTTCAAAATTGAAGAATCTATCCTGCACAACCCCAAATTACTTTTCAAATATTATTTTTGTCCCGAAATAATAGATATAATAGCCTTTGGAATCAACCAAAGAGCACAAGATGACAAAAATAGAAAATGTGTTTTTAAACCAATACTTCCCAATGAAGTTTTTTGTTTTTTGGGAGTGCTGATTTATTTAGCAGGAATAAAATGGCAATTGCCATTGAAAGATATTTACAACCCGGAAATTGGTGTTCCCTTTGTGCAAATTTGTTTGACAATTACAAGATTTCGGGAAATTTGCCGATACTTCAGATGTGATGACAAAAACAAAAGAGAGGGGTTACGAAAACAAGGAATTAAAAATGAAGGAATTTTTGAAATCTCGCAAATTTTCGAAAATAACCTCAGGAACATTTCCGATCCCGGAGAATTACTCTGTATTGATGAAAGGATGTCGAAATTTCTTGGGAGAGCACACGACAAAATTTACAACCTCATGAAACCGATCAAAAGAGGGTTTGAGTATTTGTTATTGGTTGATACAAAAACCAACATTTGTGTCAACATGTTTCAGTTTTACAAAGGGTGTGTTGAAGGAGATGGTAATATTGGGAGAAAATTGGCAAACAAACTTATTGAAGGAATCAAAAAAGAAGAAAAATCTATTTATAAAATACAAATGGATTCACGATTTATAGAAATAGATTATTTGCAAAAATGGAAGAAACAAAACATTGAAGTTATTGGAACAGTCAGGAAATCAAAATTATTGCCAGAAAATTGGAACCAAAAAACAACCCCCAAAAAGCAAGAATACAAAACAATCAAAAAAGAGATAAAAAAAGCAGAAAAAGCGAAAAAACCAAAAAAAGAAGTTGAAGTTGAAGTAAAAAAGCGGGAAACTTTACTTAAAAGGTTGGAAGAAGAAATCAAAGAGGAAAAAGAAAAAAATCCACTTTTTAACAAATTGTGGACAAAAAATGGATTATTTTTAAATTGTTTCAATCCTTCGAAAACAAAAACAGTATCCATTGTTTCCACGTTCTTTGAAAACAAGGGATTTTCTGTTGAAAACGGGAAAACAAATTTAAATTGCCTTTACAACAAAATGAAGTTTCCCGTCGACATTTTCAACTACTTGTGCGCGTATTATCCCGTTCCATTTAAGTCAAGCCGATGTACGTTTGCATTGTTCAAAAATATGTTGGAGGTTGGAATGACAAACGTTTATGTCATTTCACGCATTTTTGAAAAGAATCTTGAACACGGTTCGTTTCTCAGAAAACTTGGCAAATCGTTGTGTGAAGAACACATTGCCAGCAAATTTGAAACACTAGATGAAAAGGACCAAGTGAAAACCGTGTCCACTTTGAAGAATTGTCAAATGGGAATTGTTGAGGCAATGAAAACAGTTGTTAGCGGGGAAAGTGAACGAGGAAAGTGTCTGTCTTGTCTTTTGGCACAGACGAAGAAGAGTAGTAAAAACAGAAGAAACAAAAAAGATGTAAGAACTGTTAAAAGGTGTTTTTTGTGTTACCGACCGTGCTGTAAAAACCATTCGATCAATGTTTGTGATGTTTGTCAAGGGAAAGTTGATATTGGAGACGACTACAAAGAAGTTAGAAAATTTCCTGCTTTTTCTAAGAGGGTAAGGAAACATTACAAAGAAGCAAAAAGAGGTTCAATTCCCGATTGTTAGGGAAGAAGTCGAAAATCTTACTTAAATGACTCGTATTTGAAACTTTGTTTGAATAAGATGTATTGGATATTTTTTCCTGGGTTTAGCTTGGACAGTTTTTTACACAATAAAAATTATGAAAAAAAACCAATTTCAAACTTTTTTGACATGAGTAGCAAAAAACAAATGAAAAAATTAACAAGATACTAACCAAACGTGTTAAATCCAAGTGTTGAAGGATGACATGGAGAAGACTGAAAAAAATTTGGCTGGTGCTAAATCGAATATGCTTTAAAAAGACGTTGAAATTAATAACTTGAACGAACACCTTGCCTAAACTGCTGATAACAAATACAAGCTTGAGGCCGATGCTGAGAACACGAATAGAAAGAAAGATGCTCAAGAAAAGCAATTGTCTCAATTGAAGGCTGACAATGACAACTTGACTAAAGCCAAATCAGTTGTTGATGCCAAATTGGAAGACGCTGAAAGAGAAAAAGCTGTTCTTAACGTAAAAAGTTGAAGCCGCAATTGAGAAGTTGAGAATTACAAAAACGACTTGGGAAGAACCAAAGCCGAACTTGACCAACTCCAACAGGACTTTGACTGTCTTAAAAAGAATGCAGACACTGATGCTGCTGATAAGAAGAAACTCAATGGAACTGTTAATAATAGCAATAAGAAGATTGAGGAATTGAATGCCAAAGTCGACTAACTTTCTGGTGTTATCACAAGAAAAGAACAAGAAGTTGCTGAAGCCGACGAAGAGCTTGAAACAGTCAAGAAGGACAAATTTGCGAAAGAAATAGAAGCGAAGAAGTTGAAAACGGAAAACGACGAAATTAAAGAGAACATGAAGAACTTGGCTTATGACAAAGACCTACTTTCTTCAGAAAAGAAGAAGCTTCAATACGAATATGACCAATTCAATAACTTGGTGTTTGGACACGAAGACGAGACAAACAATTTGAATGGTTCAATCAAAAAGTTACAAAGAGACTTAGAAGCAAACAACACCGAGTTGAGAGACAGAACAACAAAGAGTGTTAGAACTGAACTTGATCAAGAAAAGAAAGACCACACTGAAACTTAATTGATTAAATGAAAGTATGAAAAGGATATTGCTGAAATCACATTCAGAGCTGAAACCCTTGAAAAGAAAGTCCAGATGGCTGAACAAGAGAATGTTGAGACTGTGAGAGATTATAAAACCGCTATTGAAGAATTGATGAGAACAAAGACAGAACTCGATGATAAACAAGACAAATGTGACAAACTTGAAGACGACTTGTCTGAGATGAAGACTGAATTGAGGCAACATTTAAAAACAGTTGAAAAACATTTATGAGAAAAAATTAACTGAATTGAATGAACAACTTAATCTTGAAAGAATTATCGCTCAAAAAGCTAAAGCACAGAAGAAGAAATATGCAGACAAACTCAGAGAATCGGAACAGAAGAGAAAGAAGCACAAAACGCGGCTGCTAAAGCTAATAAACAAGCCAAACAGTATGACAGAAAGGTCGAAGAGGCTGAGAGAAAGCTTGCAGAATTCGAACAGAAAGAATCTACTTTCAACATGATTGTTGGTAAGACACAAGCCGATTTGAAGAAGACTCAACAATCAGTTAAAAACGGCCAATTGAGAATTGTTGAGTTGGAAGACATATCAGAAAGGCTGGTGAAGATCTGAACAACAAACAACTTGAAGTTGATCGGGTAAGTGCAATTACTTTTGAAAATCAAGAACAATTCGATTCAAGTAAAACACAAAAAGACAAGGATAATTAATTATTACAATGTTTTTTAGTTTTTTTTTAATTAAAATCTAGTTAAAAATCAAGAATTAAGTTTTTTAAAATATAATATTTTTGTTATTTTTTATAGTTTATTTCAACTAGATGCCTCGAGTCTCTAAAAGATGGACTCTAATTTAGAGTCTTACTTAGAGTCTATGGGTAGACTCTAATAATTCCACAAGAAATGCTTTTCAAACAATTATTGAATGATGGATTTTTCCAATGACAAAAAACATTGGTGATGTTCTATTTTTGATAAAAAACTAGGGTTTTTATCACAAATTGATACAAATTGATAAAACCATTTTTACTTTATTTGTAGAACTTAAAAATACATTTAAAAGTAGCGAGAAGAGGAAGCGGAAAATGCTAAATTATAAATCATTTAAATTTGTTTTCTGTTTACAAAGCATGTTTTTGAATAACCCTCAAAAAGTTTTTTGGTTGTATTATTTATTCAATTCGAAATTGAACCAACAAGTAGTACCCCCTCTTTGATGTTTTTCTATCTTGTCATTCATTTTCTAATTATAAATTGGTGTTATTGTTATTATGTTTGACGTTTTAATATTAAATAGTGCCGTCTTTTGATAATATTTTGATAATTTATAAATAATTATATACTGGTTCTGTATTTTGAATCTTATTATTGTTTTTGTCTCATAGTTTCTTTTGGTAGTATTATAATAGTTATAATATAGTTATTCGTTTAAATAAACATTGTTTTTATATTGTTTTTTATAATAATTTTATAGTTGTTCAATTGTCCATTAAATTATATGGTAATAATTGTCTGAGTTTCGTTCTTAATTTGCTTTCAAATAACATTTTACATCAATTTCCCTATTTGTTCTTTATTTTACTATTGTTTTTCAAGTAATTGTTTAAGTCGGCAATTAATTCAATATTTGATTGACTGTTTTTGATATTGCATCAGAGGCAGTTTATGTTTCATGGTATCGTGTTTGTTTTTTGTGTGTTTTTTTGTTTGTTTTTTAACTTATTGGTAAAAATTGGAAATACGTACTAATCGGTTATCACATTTGCAAGTGTAAAAAGCTATTTTGATCATCAACCGCCGTTTATTTTCGTGTTTTCCTATTGGATTATGGTTTTTAGAAGTTTCGATAGTTCCTTGTTATTGAAATACGGAAGTAACGAAACTGGGTGCTCCTTTGGTTTTTGTCTTATAAGGACCTGTTTAAACCTGAAAAATCCCAAAAAGTATAATTCAGAGAAATTTTGGCATGGTTTTCTTTCAAAAACAATATTATATTGGCCTGAAATAAGAGTTTTCCACCCTAAAAAAATCAGTGAATAACTTTTTTACCAGTTAGCGTTGTGTTTTCAAGTTCAAATAAGAAAAAATTGAATTAAAAAATAGTAAAAAACGGGAAAAAAACAAATAATTTACTTGAAAACAATTTTGTTATTCGGCATTTTGTTATAAAATAATGGTAAACGCCTGATCGTGATAATAAGTGATAAAAGTCGGTTTGGGTTGTATCCAGACAAAAAGTAATGTTGGAGACCAAAATCATTTTTAGCAAATCTACTTTAATTTAACAAAAGTAAAGGCAACAGAAAAGTTCCCAAAGCCATCAAAGAACATTTTTCTCAAACTCCCAAACACAACTGTTCAATAATGGTATGGGGAGCTATCGGGGTCGGATACAAGAGTAAATTAATATGTTGTTCACAAAAAGAGGGAGGAAAACAATATATTGAAACTCTCGGAAAAGTTCATTTCTTCGAAAATGTTAGAAAGAAACTAAACAACAACATTGTGCATTTTCAACAAGATGGTGCTCCTGCCCATCGCTCAGTTGCAACTAAAAAATCTTTACAATCAAAGGGTGTAAGGCTGATGATATGGCCATCAAATTCTCCAGATCTATCTTCAATAGAACATTTATGGGGAATTATGGATATAAAGTTAAGAAAAAACTACCCGGTTATTAAAACCGAAACTAGATTGTTTTTTATTGAGAAAGATTTGGAATGAAATTCCACAATCATTGGTCGACAAATTGATGTTTTCAATTAAAACACATTTTGAATTATGTGTGAGTCAAAAAGGAGGTCCAATTGGCCATTTATCAAATTTCAAACAATTGAAAAAATGGAAAAAATCCAGTGTTTTAAAAATAGAGTCTTGGGAGTTTGAACCTTATTATTAATGAAAAATTTGTTTATTGTAATTGGTTATTAATTGAAAAAATAATTCTGAAGCAATATAAAAATAGAACAGCAAGTTTTCCTGTATATTTTTGTAAAACATACCTATCAAAAAAATGTACACTTCCTAAAAAACGGAACCAGTTTATATAATATCTCATAACATGTAATTATCAACAATAAGTTTTATAATTAACATTATGAACAATGTTGCAGTTAAACAATGAAATAAGTAACAATTTATAATATTTGACTTTTTTTTCGTTTTAACAAAATGTCACATCAATAACAAATAAGTATTAATCATTATTTAAGAATAACAATATCATTAACGGTCATCATTCAACTAAAAACTATATATAAACTATATATGTATATGAACAATTACGTATGTTCGTTATTAATTTATTTAAACGTTTTAATGTGTTGATAACTTTGTTGTGTAAATAATTGAAAACATTATTTACTTTGGATTAATAACAATTGTTTTTTTCACAATGTACTTTAATAACTATTTTTAAAAAAAATTGACAAAAAATGCATTTTTGAACATCATTTGGATTTTTGAAAAAAAAACAAAATATTTAAAGTTTTGGGGTTTTTTTATTTATTTTTTGAACTTGATTCAGTTTTACAGTTAATATTTTTGTTTCTTGATAATTTTGTTTGAATAAATTAATCCCAAAAGTGGAGATAAAGCTATTAAAAATTATTAAATTCTTAAATGTGGTTTTTTCAGTTTGAAAAAAATAGAAAAAACTTCAGTTCACAAACTGCGAAGTACTAAGGTATACCATTTTTTCTTTTTCAAAAAACTATTACAGTAAAAATTCTATCGGTGTGTGGAGTCATGAAAATAGTTTTCCCAAAGTGTGTATTTTTTTTCTTTTTTAATTTCTGGCAAAAAAACTACAAAATAATGAAATTTATAAAACAATCCACAATCAAGAAAAATGACAAAAAGTATTTTTTGTTTTTTTTGAAAAAAAAACGTAACACATGTAAACATAAAATTCAAAATAATTTTTGGTGTGTAACATTTTATTTTCGTTTTTATGTAATTAATTGTCCTCAAAATAAACTTTTGCTTGCTACTTTTAATAGTCTCGGTTTATGGCTTCGGCAAACCTTGCTTTTTTTCTGTAATAAAAAAATTTCATAAAAAAATAAAAAGGCTCTTTTCATTTTTTAAAATATTGTTTGAATAAAAAACCCTGAATTTTTTCCTTTTGTTGTTGAAAAGGGAAAAAAATAAATTATAAATTTAATTATAATTATATTAACAAATAACCATTTTTTGAAAGAATCGGTTTTTAAGTGGAAGCGGGTTTTTATCCCCCCTTTACCTATTTTATCATACCCTTATTGTAATGATAAAATTATTATTGTTAATATATAAGCAAGTCAATTAATAATAATAATTTAAGTAATATGCACATTTATTGATTTTGATCATTATAATGATAATAATCATTGCAAACTTTGTGGTTAAAAAACATCATTTGTTCGAAAAATGATACTTTATTATTTATGTTTTTGACAGTATATATCTTAAAGTCTATTAAGTCTTTTAATCTTTTGAACAATTGGACAATTAACTGAATTAATTTTGAAGTTTCAAAACTAAAACTTATTTCTAAATCTATGTAATGTAAATTAACAATTCAATAATTCAAATCATCATATTTTCAAGCTTTTTTCTTACGATTTCAATTGTATTTCTGTCTTCTTTTTTATGTGCCCAACAGTTTGATATTAATTTGTATTGTTCGTCTGTCATAGATTCATTTTTTGAAAGACTTTTTCCATCGTTTACAAATTCTGCAATTTTCCATGGAAATTTAAATTCGTTTTTAATGTAAGCTTCCCTCCAAGAAATCGTCTCGAACATTGTTATTGCGAACGAATAAATGTCTGCACTCTTCTTGTATTTCTCTTGTTTCAAAATTTCAGGTGCCATGTAAACTGGTGTACCAACACCTTTAGTGAATGTCATGTTGGTTTGCAGCATATTTACATTTCTTGATGATCCAAAGTCGGTCAGTTTTGCATTCACTATTTCATTTACATCCAGTGATAACACTAGAAAATTGTCTGGCTTGATGTCTCTGTGTAATATCCCATTCTCGTGTAAATATTGAATTCCTTTTAAAGCATCTAGTAGAAATTTAATTCGCAACTTCATATCAATTTCATCACTCTTTTTGTGTTTTATCAAGTCTTGGAGTGACCCAAATGATGCAAATTCGGTGACCATACACACCTTACTTGGTATGAATACAGCGCCATAGAAGTGGATAATGTAATCACATCGGAACTTGTCTAGCACGGCAACTTCTTTTTCAAACTCTGCAAGTCCACTTTCATAAATATCAAGTTGTTTCATCTTTTTGATTGCAACACAAACGCCTCTGTATTGCCCTTTGTAGACAATCCCAAAACCTCCCTCTCCTAGTTTTTCGTCTTCTATGATTTCTCTGTAATTCAATTTGGTTGTTTGTTCAGTCTCGATTTCCATTTCAATTTTTGCATTTTCAATGACACCGGTTGCTATATTTTACGAAGTTATTGCTACACTTTCTTTTGTGACACAAGTGCACAGCGGCTTAATAATTATTTCAAACTCACAAGCATATCCAGGCTTCAATGTCACAAGTGGTGGCACACTTCGTATCTCGTAATAGTCACACCCTTCCATCACACTGAATTGAACTTTTAAGTTGCTTTTCGACACATTCCCAATACATACCAAATCTCTTGTCTCGATGTCAACTTTAAGTGGATCGTTGTCATCCAAATCAAATTTCAGTGTTGTCTTGTTTGACACTAAATTGGCACTTAATTTGACCATCTCGATGTTTGATCGACTCATTTTGAAGTTGCAAATGTTCTGCTCTTTTTTCTTCTGTTTTCTCTTTTGTATCATTGATATCGCAATTAGTATAATAGCAACAATAAACACTATGATCACAAAAGTGACTGATATTGGCACGCCAACAACCAACCCATAATTTGTCACTTTCACACAATAATCACCGGCGTCACTTGGTTTGTGAAAGCCTTCACATTCTGTGCACTTTGAATTGTTTGCAGACAAACAAAACTCAACATTTTTGTAACTCACACACTGCGAGTCAACCAACACATAATCTTTTTCAACACATTTTTTACAATTTTGATAGCTGTCACATGAGATGCAGTTTTCAGAACAGTTTTTGCAAATGTAATTATCCAAGTAATACCCATCCTCACATCTTAGACACCCAATCGGTGTTTTAGTTTCACAATTAGTCAAGTTGTCATATGACACACACAGTTTACTTTCACTGCCAGATAGTTTGAAATGCTCGTTTTGACAACTCAAACAAGAAGTACTATCAACACAAGTACCACATGACTCATCACAAGAAATACAATCTGTTTTCTGTTTGTAATAGTGGTCTTTGCAAATTGCACACCCACCACCCGTCGGCAGTGTCAAGTCACATTTTGTAAATAAATTGCCAAGTGGTTCACATGTAAAGGTTGATGACAAGTAATACTGTGGATCGCATGTCAAGCAATATGAAGTGTTGTAACAATGATAACAGTGATTAGGACACTTCTCACACTCACTGTTGTTAAAGTAATAACCAGAAATGCATCTTTCGCACCCTTTGTTATTTCGAGTGAAACACGAAACTTCAACACCTTTCTTATCTTGTTTTGTGATGGTTGAATTGTTTTCTTCATCATTTTCTTGATCTTCAAACTGTTCTGAACATTTTCCATTCTTTAGTTTGAAAGAATCAAAACATTCAACACATTTGGATTGTGAAATCAGTGAATATTTACAATCAGCTATTTGAGTGTTAGAAATTGGAATACAAAAATCGTATTTTCCCTCATTGTTGAGAGTTTCTATTGCATAAAACCCTTCGTTACATTGTGGACATGACATTCCGTTAGCTTTGGCACACCCAACTTCACTTTGTTCAAAACAAAATCCATTTGTTTGTATCACATATTTTTCGTTACATCTCTTGCACTTTCCACCTTCACAATATTTACAATTTGGAACAGAACACACCGAGCATTTGCCATATTTAAGTTCCATGTTTACATCAACACATTTTGAACAATAATCTTTGCCGTATTTCAAACAATTGTTATCACTATTGCAGCTCATTGTTTCAACATTATAAATCGAATTGTTGCCACATGACAGTACTATACTTATTGATTTGTAATTTATACAAATCGACGAGTTGTTTTTACATGTCACACATTGATTGTTTTCATTCAAATAATTGCCATTGTCACATCTATAAACCACACCATTTCTCAATGATAATATATTAACTACATTTTGACAAGTGTTATCATTAACAACATACTTATCTTCACATTGAATGCATTCCTTTTGATTTTTGTAGTTTTTCTGATACTTACATTTTGATAGAGTGCTTTGACAGTCTGAGCCAACTGATATTTGATCAGAACAGTCACAAGATATTTTCGAAAGTGTTGATTTGAACACACAGTTGGTTGCCGACACACATTTGTTGTTTGACAGATAATATCCATCTGAACAACTTAGACACTGTTCTTGATTCGAAGAAGTCAAACAGCCACCCCCATTATTTTCGCATTTCTTTGTTGTGGCGTTGTAAAATGTGTTTGCTCCACAAGATTCACAAACACCAGTTTGTGAATCAAATGCATATGGCGAATAACAAGCGGTGCAAACAGGAATTCCAACCGTTTTAGTTGAGCACGTTTGACAATTTGGGATGCCAATGTAACACTTTTCACATGATGTTTCAGTGTTTTTATAACTTCCAGAAGCACAACTCAAACACGTTTGGTTGAAGAGGTAATACGGGTCTTGACACGACAAGCACTTGTTTTCTTTTGAATTACATGATTTACAATTTGTGATAGTTGTGTTACAAAATACACAGCCCCCACTTTCATTTGGATAAAATCCACTCTCACACTCAACACATTTTCTGTTGTAATCAGATGAACATACCTTGCAATTCTGATCAAATGATTTGCAAGCAACACACACACGACTCTTTGTTGCTTCAAACACATAATTGTTGATACACCCAGTGCACTTGCCTGTTGTTTGATCGCAGTTACCATTGCATGTAGCATCACATGAAACACACGTGTATGTTGAGTCGCTTGGATACATTCCGCTTGGTCGACACACACTGCATTTTCGTTGATATGTTGAGTCACACGTCAAACAATTTGAATCAAATGTTGCACATGAATCACACACTAAATTGTTTGATATTGAAAAGACGTAATTCGACGAACAACCAGTACACGCTCCTGTTGTACCACTGCATGAACCCCCACATGTGAAGTCACAATTACCACATTTATAGTTTTTTGATGGTTTTGGGTATTTTCCATTTGAACACAATTCACATTTTCTTGTATAATCAACTGCACATTTTGAACAGTATGAATCAAATTCAGAGCATTTTACACAAACTTTTGATATCGGAGAAGTTACTGTGTAATTTAACAAACACTGTGAACAAAATCCAGATGTCGAGTCACATGTATTTGGTTTACATGTTGAATCACAAGCAACACAATTTCCATTTAATAAATAAAACCCACTATTTTCTCGACATTTTATACACTTTCTTTCTCCATTTGAAGAACATTCAACACAGTTTGCATTAATGGTCGAACACTCAACACATTTATTACTTTTTGGTTCACTAAAAACTTTACCAGAAACACAATTGGTGC